CGGGAAGGCTCTGCCCGCGGAGGGGTCGCGGGGGCTCGGGAGCGGCCGGACCCCGGTCAGCGCGCTTGGTTCCCTGCTGCGGCCGACGTCCGCGAGCTCCCCGGGCTTTTCGGTGCTCTTTGTGCCGTGGTTGTTCCGTAAATAGGATGAATGCAGATTTGCGCAGTTATTTTTTCCTAGTTAAAGTCTATGATGCAGTTGAAATCCACAGGGATTTTTTTTCTTGTTTACAGGATTAAGCTCTCCGTTATTTGATATTTATTCTTTCTGTATTTTTATAGAAAAATGGAAATCGCCACTCCTCCAACGTCAAAGTGTATTATATACTGGAAAAGAAAAGTCAAGTCTGAATATATGCGTCTTCGGCAGCTCAAGAGGTTCCAGGCAAACATGGGAGCTAAGGTAAAGACGTAGGGATGGTAGCGCTAGCTGAAAGGATATCTCCTAAAGACTTCGCTTTACCTTGTAGTATTTGAGCAGCTATCAGACAGGTGCTTCATCCTGCAAATTGCAAAGCTGTATTTTCCTTGTAAGCTGGATAAGTTTGAAGAGATGCTACTTCTGCTCATGGTCCATTGTTAGCCTGGAGCCGTGCAGTCAGCGTCTGTTGCACAGAGAAGTCTGTTGGCTGAGTGCTTGCACAACTGCAGCACGAGGACTCATTTCCACTTGTTCCCACTTGTTCTTTAAAGTATCTGCTTGCTTGAACCCTCTCAGTGCTGGTGGGTTTCAGATGACTTACTCGGATGCTCCTCTCCTTGGCAGGCAGGATTTTAGAAGAGGTTGGCTGGGATCAGGAGTTATCAAAAGCTAATGGCTGTCGGGTAGATGTTCAGCACGGTTTTGTACCAATGCTGAGTTTAATTAGAGTTTCTTCTAATGAGTATCATCAATTTGAAATGCTCTGCCTTGCATACATTTTTATACTCGAAACAAAATCTCAGGAGGTGTTTTAGTGTTCTCAGCATGATTTCTTAAATTTTGAGTGCTTCTTTCTCTCATTTCAGGCTCTGTTTGTGGCCAACTTTGCAAAAGTTCATGAAAAGACTCAAATTCTGAATGAAGACTGGAAGAAGCTTCGAGTCCAGCCGGTGCAATTGATGAAGCCAGTCAGCGGGCACCCGTTCCTAAAACAGGTGTGGAGAGGAAGAGGGGCACGGCAGCAGTAAGGGTGGACTAGAACCAGGGCTTTGCAGGGAGCTGTGAGGATACGGGATTGTTTTTTGTGTGTGCTGTCCTATGTCAGTGTCAGGCCGTGCCTTGCACTCTTGTGGGATACAGAAATGGGGAAAAAAAAACCAAAACCAACCCAAGGCCTTTCCTGTGAAGAGGTCCCAAAGAGTGAATGCAGGGCTTCACTGCGTTTGTCCTGAAGTGCGATTTCCCTCTGGCTGTGACTGCCTCCCAGGGGCGGTTTCCTCACTGCCCTTCTCTGTACTCGTATTCCAGTGCACCGTTGAGAGCATTTTCCCGGGATTTCCAAGCCAGACGCTGTACATGAGGACCCTGAACACGGTGGCGCTGGTGCCCATTATGTACTCCTGGTCCCCTCTTCAGCAGAATTTCATGGTATGTAGGAAGGCTCTGGGGCACGAGGTTTTGGTGTGATTAGTGTGTAGTTGTTACATGGTTGTGGAGTGATTATACCTTCTTGAACCCTCTTGTTTCAAGTGATGTCTGCTCGAGAGATGACGGAAAGTATTGTTTTAGTTGCTTGTTTTGTTGAATCCCATTAAACAGCCTTGTATCCACGCTGTCTTACCCAGCTAGTCTCTCCTTTACACCTGACTCCTTGATAGGGCCACCATTATTTCACAGGATTCAAGGAGTAAATATGGTTTGGGGTTTGTTTTTTTTTTTTCCCCTAAGATTTTTCTTCCCTTTTAAATGAAGAGTTTTATTTCTTAGGCAGGTCCTTTGTGACTGGATTACCCTGCTGGCCTCGTTGTAAGGATGCTACTGAGGATCAGTTCCTCTATCATAGTAGCGTGGGGAGTGATTTAAATGCAGATTCTGGTGTGGTGTAGTTAAGATTATTTGTTAAACAAACAGGTGGTCTGCGGCTAGCCTGGCTCTTTGCCTGGTGTGGGGTGTGGATGTGTTCCTGCAACCTGCAGGGCTCTCTGAAGCCTCCCGTAGCAGACCGGGGGAGCAGTGACACCAGCGACTGTAATGCAAAGAGTCGGTCGGTGTGCCATGGCAATGAAGGCCCAGTGTCCTTGCTCCTGTGGTTAACGCGAGAGTGCTCCTCAGCTTTGGCTGTGCTCCTCCGAGGAGTGAGTTACCGGTTTGCCTTTCAGTGTTCCAAGTTCTACTCTGCCTTGAACACAATCTCTCTGACATTTTTTGGCTGTTTATTATTCTTGGCAATGTGTGTGTTTCTGAGACTCTGTAAGCCTTGGAGGCACAGCTCTTCTTTTTTTAAAGCGAATTGCACTTTCAGGGGTCAGAGTTATGCTGCTGGCATGGGATAACAATGAAATGTCGGTGATGAGACATCTGAAACTGCAGCCAGGGAGGCTGAACCTTTGCACTGTGTTGTCTGTGGGTCTGAATGGGCAGGAGCAGCCTCGGAGACACGGCCTGGCTGAGAATCGGCAAGTGCTGGTTTTCTGAATTGTACCTGATCTCTTTTCAGGTGGAGGATGAAACTGTTCTGTGCAATATCCCTTACATGGGAGATGAGGTGAAGGAAGAAGATGAAACTTTCATTGAAGAACTTATTAATAACTATGATGGGAAGGTTCATGGAGAGGAAGGTAACCTGGGAGCAGTCAGCACTGTCCGTTCAGTCTCTTGCAAATAACATATCGAAGTAGTTAAGAAGTCAAAAGGTGGCAGCAGTAACCAGCTTTTCTGTGGGAGCTCTTAAAGCAGAAAAACAGGAACATGCCTGCTGTTCTAGTTTGCAAGGACACAGTTCTGTCTTTTGATATCCTGCTCCATTCTAGGCCTGGGGTGCTCTGGAGCCTCTGCTCTTGTTCATGGGGGTTCACAGGAGTGCCTTGGGGTGCTGAAAAATATGCTAGAGGTTAGGAGGAGCTCAGCAACCTTGTTTCGCTTGTGACCTTAGCCAAGGCTTTAATCAGGCTTTTCTGAAATGAAAAGCCAGGGTGTTTCCCTACAGTGCTGCCTACCCCATCATGAAACTCTGCCTGGAGGGAGGAAGGCAGTGGAAAACTCTGGTATGGCCTGTCCTCAGATTGCTAAAAATGATACGCTGCTCTCATGACTGGCATTAAAATCCCACCTATCCCTACAAAATTGCGAGGCAGGTTCTAGTTGTTAACAATGTCGTGTGGCTGGCTTGTGATTTACCACCATGAGGAATGTGAAAGATGATGGCACACCCACAAACTGGCTGACATCTCTGTGTTTCAGAAATGATTTCAGGGTCAGTCCTCATCAGCGATGCCGTGTTCCTGGAGCTAGTGAACGCCCTGAATCAGTACTCGGACGAGGAAGAGGAAGGACACAATGATTCTGAGGTTAAACAGGAGGATGGGAAAGAAGAGCTGCCAGTCACAAGGAAAAGAAAGCGAATTGCAGTGGAAGGTGGGTTTGGCCACAGAAATTGGGGCTGTGTCCGTCACGTTTCCATCCTGCCCTGCCTGAGTAGCTGGCCAGTGCTCTCCTGCCATCACTTGGTTATTAATGTGTCACTAAGGTCAGTGATCAGCTTGGCAAGTTCTGGTACGGTAGTCGAAAGCAGAAGGGAAGTCGGTTGTTCTTACTGTCCCCTGCGGACAGGATAAGAAGTCATCAGCTTAAAGTGTGGCGAGGAAGAATTTAGATGAGTCACCTGGAAAACCATTTCATGGCAAGATTAGCAAAGCAGAGGGGTGTTGTCTGAGGAGGCTGTGGGATCTCTGCTCCTGGAGGTTTTAAAGTGCTGGTCTGGCAAGCGTCTGTCAGTAAGTTTGTAGATAGATGTGATTCTGCTGTAGGCCAGGGAGGTGGATCTTTTCAAATCCCTTCCAGACCCGTTTTCCATGTATTAGTGTTCCTCTTCCCTCTCCTGTGCCAGCTGGAGTTCTTGTTGCATAGAGGAAGCTCTGGTTTGTGGGATTTTCATGTGTCCTGCGTGACCTTGGGAATGCTGACTGGTAGTTTCATCTTTGTCTTTGGTTTATAGTGATACGGGTAGCACAAATACCAGGACCTTCCGTAGATGTAGAAAAGCATTGTCTGCAAATCCTGCCTTGGTAAAAATAAATAGTAGTACTCCTGAAGAAATTGTTAGTACTTCCATCAATACATTATGCTACTCTGAAAGTGGCAGAGTGCGCTGCATCTGGAAATGCCTTAGCCTAGTTGCAGGAGAAAAGGTTTATCCGTTGTATATGGGATTACATTTCTGTCTCTTAAAATACAATCCTGAACACCTACCAGAATTGCTCTCTGTGGAAGAAGGAAAGACATGTCCGCATCCAGCTTAACTGAGGAATTGTCTCTCTTCTTTTTCTTAGGTAACAAGAAATGTTCAAAGAAGCGGTTTCCAAATGACATGATATTCACTGCTATTTCTTCTATGTTTCCTGAATACGGTTTCCCAGATGATATGAAAGAGAGGTAGAAGATCTCTACTTAAGTTGTCTGTTACCTTTCTTAGCAACAATTGAAATCTGTATTTCAGAAAACAGCGCTGTACTCTGACCAGAAAGTAAAGCTCAGGTGGCTGCAGGCACCGTGAGCAGAGTGGTTTTTGAGTGTTAGAAACTTTAGTTTAGCCTCAAGGTATCTGGGCCAGAGTCCTACTGGCCCAGATAGTAATGTAGTTGTGTAAAATGTCCCAAATTAGGAAAGCATGCACATCTGTGGGCGTTTCTGTTTGTCGAATAGGTACCGAGAGCTCACAGAAGTGTCGGACCCGAACGTGCTGCCGCCGCAGTGCACTCCCAACATAGACGGGCCGTGTGCGAAGTCGGTCCAGCGGGAGCAGTCCCTGCACTCCTTCCACACCCTCTTCTGCCGCCGCTGCTTCAAATACGACTGTTTTCTGCATCGTAAGTGCAGTCTCGGCCGGACGCTTCCCTAGAGCCCTTTTCTCCTCATTTTTCCTCAGTGCTTCATACTTCTGTATGCCTTGCTTAGTGTCTGTGCTGCAGTCTTTAGAGGGTGGTGCCTCCCCGGAGTTTGCAGTGGAGCCTTAGGAGCTGACAGGTGCCCAGAAGCCTTTTGTAAAGACGGCTCCACTCACTTCCTCAAACGGATGGTAAACCGACCTGCGTGGCCGTCCCCTCTTTCTCACCATTGTTCAGCACGCCGCATTCGAGCCTCCTGGCAGTTTGTGCGAGAAATACTGCCGCAACTAGACTTTACCCTTGCTTTGCAGAAGCTCATCAGGGAAAGGCATGAATGTTTCACTTCCAAAGTCTGGACATGCCCCTGTGTTTTGTTGCCTCACGAACTTACAGCTTCTTCTTAGTCATGTTCCTGCGGTTTGTCCTGCCAAAGCCTTTTGGATACTGGTTAGCTGTTGGACCTGCTGTTTCCCAGGTCTAAGGGCTTCTTTGGAAAGTCACAGGACTCCTTCCAGTGAATTATTTATTAAAAGATATAATATTAAGATCATGTGGTCTTTTTTTTTTTCAGTCTGAAAGCAGATCTTTTTCCTATGACCTCTCCTTCCCAAATGTTCCCCCAGTGCTGCTGAGTCCCCATCACGGGTTGGAGCAGGGCTGGCCAGGAGGTCCTGCCGCCTCGTTCCTCCCTGCTGGGAGAGCTGCTCGGGCACTCTTGCTGACTGCCTCAGGCTCCCACTCACCTTTGTTGAGTTCGTGCTGCCCCTGTCCCTTGCAGCGTGGGGGGAGACCCTTGGAGGATGCTAATAGTAAAGATAACTATTATTTTTTCAGCTTTTCATGCTACTCCTAATGTGTACAAACGAAAGAATAGAGAGACCAAGATCGAGCCAGATCCTTGTGGAGCAGACTGTTTCCTCTGGCTGGTATGTTTCTGTGTTGCTGCTTTTGAAACCACGAGAGAAGTAGCCTGGCCAGCCCTGCTCTGCAGAACTCTGTGGGTCCTTTTCACAACTTTGATGATTTTTCAGAATTAGTTCTAATCCTCATTGGATTCAGGGGAGCATGAATCCAAATACAGACCTTACCAGATGCATATTTTAGCAAATCTCCAACAAAGACTAATTTCATGGCTAGCAGATGGGAAATTGTGGTGACAAATGATTTCTCTGGACTCAGTGCAGCGTTTGAAAAATGAAGCCCAGGTTCAAAATGCTGGGGAGGGAATCTAGCGTATGTGGGGAAGGCTCAAACTATTTTAAAAATGATCTTTCAGAAATACAGCCTAGCTGTGTTACCAGGGATGAGAGCTGCAGATCGGAAGAGCTGGCTGCAGGGAGGTGGGTGCGCCTGGTGGTGTCGGAGCTGGTCAGCTGGCTCAGATACAGGGTGTCCTGGGGAGCTGCGGGGCTGGAGCAGAGGAAGAGGCCAGGAGAATTTCGTTGCCAGGGCAGGAGGCAGGGGAGCGGACTGGAGGGCCAGGGCCAGGGAGCCTCTTCCGACCGGGCAGCGGTGCTGAAGGAAGCGAAGTGGGAATGCGCAGTGCGGGCAGCTGGCAGGGCCTTGGCAGTCGCTGAAGTGACCGCGCATGGGGGGTCTTCCACCTTCTCTTGGTGGTGGCAGGGCTTGTCCCAGGGCCTGTGGAAAAGCCTTTCTGTGTTCCCTGGTCATCTGCCACCTGCCTTGTCTTCTGCTCTGGTTGCAGGAAGGAGCCAAGGAGTTTGCTGCGCTGCACAACCCCAGGTCCAAGTGCTCAGGCCGGCGCCGCCGGAGGCACCACGTGGTGGGTGCTTCTTGTTCAAACACCCTGGCTTCTGCCGTCGCTGAGACGAGGGAGGGCGATAGCGACCGAGACACGGGCAACGAGTGGGCCTCTAGCTCCTCGGGTACGATGCCACCCCAGAGACACCCCTCTCCCCTCTGGCGGTATGAGCAGTAAGGACAGGCAGCACCTCGCAGCTGGGGCTCTCCCTGTCTTGCCTCTGTGTCCCGCACAAGGGTGTGGAATTCTGAGTTAGCAGAGTCGGTGTTTACAGCTGGGCTTAAACAAACATGAGGGACACCAGCCCCTGCCCTTGCTGCTGTGGGATTCATTGTCCTCTCCCAGGAAGGAGGAATGTTGCCAGGCAAAGCAAGAGCTTTGCTGGGACCTGCAAAGCCAAGAGCCTTCAGCTCTTGAGCACCTTGCTCGGCTGTGCACGAGGAAAGTGCCCCTGGCAGGGCAGTGCCCGGGCAGCGCTGGTCTGTGCGCTTGCCCTGCTGCAGCACAGAGCAGGGGCCAGGGAGATGTTGAGGCAGGGGGCTTGTCTGTGGACCTGCCAGGGGTGAGCGCTTCCTCGGTGCCGCAGAGGAGCACCAAGCTGCTCCTGCCACACCAGGGGAAGTGGTGGTGGCTGGGACAGAATGAGATCCTGGGGGGGCAGAGGACTCCTGTACGTCTGGGTCCCGTCTCGGGCGGGAGAGGAGAGAGTGGCTTCCTCATCCTCGGGCCTCTCTGGTGCTGCTGCCATAGTCAGGGGGCTCCGTCCTGGGCCAGCCCTGGAAGGGGAAGGTGGCATGGTGGCTCTGGTGCTGCCTGGCAGCGAGGGGGCCAGCGCCACCGTCCCAACCGGCGCTGGGCTGCCTGACTAGAGGCGTGCGGCAGGGAGCGTGGTGCAGGGCTGCCAGGAGGTGTAGGGGCAGGGGTGAGGCAAGATGTTGGGCACTTCGGGGGGACCGCTGCCCTCGGGAGCTGTGATGGCGGAGGTGCGTTCTCCCATGTTGTGTTTGGCCTAACGTCTGCCTTTCCTGCCAGAGGCAAACTCCCGCTGCCAGACCCCCACCAAGCAGAAGCTGAGCCCTGCCTCCTCCCAGCTGTTTGCGGTGGAGACGCCGCAGGAGCCCGTCGAGTGGACGGGAGCTGAGGAGTCGCTCTTCCGCGTCTTCCACGGGACCTACTTCAACAACTTCTGCTCGATTGCCAGGCTGCTGGGAACAAAGACGTGCAAGCAGGTGGGTGCCTGGAGAGGGCAGGCACTGCAGCGCCTGGCCCAGCGGCAGGAGGGAAGCCTTGGCCGCTGCTTGCCTGCTATTTTTTCTTCTCTGCCACAAACCGCCTCAAGGAATGTGTTGCATCAACACTTTGTGGACTTCAGTGTTGTTATTTTGCAGTACTGCTGCTGTTTGCAGAATGAGCCCTGCGCATGCCCATGCTCTTAGCTTCCTCCAGAGTGCCTTGTCTGAGGCCGGGCGCGCTGGCAGGGCGGGCGCTCTTGTTTCCCAGGCAAGAGAAGCAATGACAGCCGTGGTCAGTGAAACTGGGGGCAGAACTGCCTGCTTACTGCTCCAGGGACTGGGAGCCCCCCTGTGTCTGCTTGCTTACACTCTCTCTATTTATGTTTTAGATAAAAACAACTTGAGTACACTGAACTTTGTTCTTCTTTTTGCTTCTGTTCTTTGGTAGGTCTTTCAGTTTGCAGTGAAAGAATCACTTATAACAAAACTGCCAACAAATGAATTAATGAATCCATCCCAGAAGAAGAAAAGGAAGCACAGGCAAGTGTTGGACAAGCTTGTTTTGTTCTTAAAATGCAACCAGATCCACTGCTTTTTGTGCCAAAGCATTCCTGGTAATCCCCATCTGGCTCCCATCTGTGCACACATCCCGCTGTCACACAGGGCTGCTGGTGCTGCTGGCTGGGTGCTGGCCCCTGGCCTCTCTTCCCAGTGCTGCTGCCCTGGCTGGGAGGCTCTGAGGCCTTGGGCTCAGCCCCAGAGGAGAGGGCAGCACGGTGCCTGGCTGTAGTGCTGCACTGCTGTGGGAGGGACGGTACCGCTGTCCTAACAGCAGCCTTAGCCTCAGCTCCCTGACTTATAACCTACTTTTTGTTGATCCCAGTGTGTCCAGTATTAATCTGGATCTAGCATTTGCCTTAAATAACTAATGCTGTAGCTGCGTCGTTCTCATCTTCCTCTGCTTTACGGCTGGCTGATGGTTATTAATGCATGAAGCTGCCAGACAGCCTCGCTGGAATCGCCTGTCTCCTGCTGCTGTGCTGACCGGTGGTGCCGAGCAGTTGTGGCCAGCTCTTCCTGACGGAGGCTTGTGCGTCCCCTCAGACCCTCTCTGTTTCTCTTCCAGGCTGTGGGCTGCGCACTGCAGGAAGATTCAGCTGAAGAAAGGTAGCGTTTGCTGTGGCTGTGTCACGCGAGGTTTGCAAGGCCACTCACCCGCGGGATGGAGTTCTCCGGCTCTGACTCGTGCAGCAGGACGGCAGTGTCCTGCTCTCCAGCCCCGCAGCTGCAGCAGCGCAGAGGGGGAGCGTCTCCCCCCAGCTGGGCTCCTTGGGGTGCCACTGGCCAGCCCTGCTGCGGCTGTGCCCTGGGAATTGCCGCTGTGCCAGTGCTCTCGCTGAGGCAGTACGTGCGGTGTTGTCTTGCTCCAGCCAGAGGGGAGGCTGAGGTTTGGCGTGCAGCCCCACTGTAAAATGGGCTGTTCAGGGCAGAGCAGACGTGTGCCATGTGTCGGTAATCACAGCCATGTGTCTGCGGGAGCTGTGTGCTGGGTGCTGCTGGGCTCCCTGCCCTCTGCCGGCAAACGGGTAGCTTGCACCTTCCTTGCTCCAGAGCCCTGGCTGTGCTGCTTTCAAACATTTCTGCAATGTGCAGCTTCTAATCTGGGCATTTCTCCTCTTGTTCTAGATAATTCACCTACCCAGGTGTACAACTACCAGCCCTGTGACCACCCCGAGCATCCCTGTGACAGCTCCTGCCCTTGCATCATGACTCAGAATTTCTGTGAGAAGTTCTGCCAGTGCAACCCTGACTGTAAGGAGAAACCTTGGGCTATCGGGCAGGAAAGCAGCCAGCTCTCCTGACACAGACCAGAGGGAGGGTGCAGAGCTGGGACTTGCTGGAGGCCTGCTTGGTTCTGGCATTCACTGCTCTATCCATCTGCAGCAGTTAGATTAGCAGTCTGCTGAAGTCCAAGGGGAAACTGTTCCATGCTGCCCTGTGACTCTCAGCAGCTGAGATACGTGCTCTTGTTAGAGAATGCTTGTCTGCATGTCTGTATCCAGCATCAACAACCCGCGGGTGATGCTGCTGGTTCCCTGAGAGCAGGATGTGTGGCCAGCAGTTAGGGTGGGAGATGGGTCACTGCTCTGCCATGGTTATTTTTCCTCTCTGGGCTTCCATTCCCAGATCTGCAATGGAGATAACCACGCTTGCCCACATCGGTGGGGCTTCTGAGGGTGGATTCGTTAGGGGTTATGACACAGCTTGGGGCTGGAAGGACTACAGGGTGACTGGGAGCCAACTCAGGCTCCAAGAGTCTCTGTACTGACCTGTTATGTTTATATTATCCGAGTTGTTTATTTTCAAACTGCACATAATCAGTCCCAAGAGGCAGATCAGCGTCTTCAGCCACGCAGATAGGAAGGACGCTGTGCATGGTCTGTGGTCTGCTAAGTGTGAGTGGTGCTCAAAGCTCCCGTGCACGCAGAGTCTTTCTGTGATTTGCTTCCAGCTCCTGGGTGCCCAGGCTGCCTCACGTTCACCTTGTCTCATTGTGTTCTTAGTGAGCGCTGTCCTGGTGACTCCGGGGGGGGCAGGAAGAGGCTTTCTGGGGGCTCCTGTCTCTGCTGCCCAGAGCAGAATGGGTGTAGAGCTCTTTATTAGCACAAAGGCACCTTCCTTATGTTAGCAGGGTCGTGGGCAGGCAGCGTGGCCCTTGGTCACGGACGGGCTTAGTTCTGTACCTGCCCGGGGCCTGTCAGGGTGAGACCTGGCTCGGGAGGAGCTTCTGTGTTCCTGCAGGGCTGAAAAACCTCATGGTGCAAAACCGTGGGCTGTGTTGCTGCAGGTCAGAACCGCTTCCCAGGCTGTCGCTGTAAAACCCAGTGCAACACCAAGCAGTGCCCGTGCTACCTGGCCGTGCGGGAGTGCGATCCGGACCTCTGCCTGACCTGTGGGGCTTCAGAGCACTGGGACTGCAAGGTGGTCTCCTGCAAGAACTGCAGCATCCAGCGAGGTCTCAAAAAGGTATTGACAGCAGCATGGCTCTGGACTGCTGGCAGGGGGCTGCCTCCGGGTAGAGCTGATAAAGAGAGCTCCTGCTGCGTGGGAGAGGGTGTGTGAGCCACCCGCAGCTGTCTGAGTGAGGAGGTCTGGAAGAGAAGCTGCTCTGCCCCAGGCTTCTGTAGCACTTAATCTGGATTATGGATGTGAAAATCAGGGGACAGGAGTTACATGAGGAAGGGTGAGAGCAAGGGAGCGTAAAAAATGACTCCAGAGAAAGGTTAGGTTTTGAATTCTGCTGGTCAGGGCAAGGGACTGCACATAAAAAAGACCAAAATTCAGAGAAAGATGCAAATTAGTGGGTGTCAAGTAATGTGCAACTCCAGCCTAACGATGCTATGACCTGTAAGCCTGTAGGGAGCCATGTGTCACCTTAAACCAGGGGATGCTGGGTGGACTCTGGCTCCCCTTTGCTCCTCGGAGTTACTCAACCCCGTGATGTTGGGACTCCGAGCATGGCAGCCAGCACAGCATGGCTGTTCCTGGGCACTGCCCTAATCCCGGCGTGTGCAACTGTGCCGGGAGGTGGAGAGCTCTTCACTGTTGCTTTCTGGTCTGCCTGATGCACGGGGTGTGATCTCTGTGTGCTGGGAGGTGGTAGGCCTGCTGACCGTAACCGTTTCCTTTTCACCTTGGCTCCAGCATTTGTTGCTGGCGCCGTCAGATGTCGCCGGCTGGGGGACTTTCATCAAGGAATCTGTGCAGAAGAATGAGTTCATCTCTGAGTACTGTGGTGAGGTCAGTGCTTCTGCCCGTGCTGGGGCTGCTGTGCCGCGTGTTCGGGAGGCTGCGTTTAGTGGCAGTGCTTCCTTCAGCTGCTGGTCCAGCAGGGACAGCGTGCCTTCCCCAGCTCGGCTGTGGCCATGGGCTCACTCTGACCAGGTTTAGAGATTGAATCTTGCACCATTTTGGGACCCATCTCAGTACCTCTAGGCCCTCCACCGTGGAGGAGTGTGTTGTGTATGTGCTGTTCCCTGGGAGCCCAGCTCTTGTCTCTGCTCCCTCCCTAGGAGCCCTGGCGAGCTCCTGCCCGTGGGGTGGGAGGGCGGGAGGATGTTTCCAGGAGGTAGGCGAGCACTGCTCCTCGCAGTGGTCCTCGCTGTGCCCTCAGGTGCTGAGTCTCTCAAGGCATCTCCTTCTCCAGCTTATTTCACAGGATGAGGCTGACCGGCGAGGGAAGGTCTATGATAAGTACATGTCCAGCTTCCTCTTCAACCTCAACAACGGTAACTCGCCTGGGGCTTCGAGGGGTGGAGGAGACTTGGGCTTCCTGGCAGGGTGCCGATGGCTGGGTGAGCAGTCTCAGCCGATCTGTCGCCTGAGCAGCAGACCTGTCTTTTCCAGCTTATTTCACAGGATGAGGCTGACCGGCGAGGGAAGGTCTATGATAAGTACATGTCCAGCTTCCTCTTCAACCTCAACAACGGTAACTCGCCTGGGGCTTCGAGGGGTGGAGGAGACTTGGGCTTCCTGGCAGGGTGCCGATGGCTGGGTGAGCAGTCTCAGCCGATCTGTCGCCTGAGCAGCAGACCTGTCTTTACACTACAGTTTTCTTTTTTTTTTTTTTTTCCTTAATAGATTTTGTTGTTGACGCCACCCGCAAAGGAAATAAAATCCGCTTTGCCAATCACTCGGTGAACCCCAATTGCTATGCCAAAGGTGAGATATCCCTGCCCAGTCAGATCTTGGTGGGGGAAGGTTCTCTGGGGTCCTGCTCAGCTCCGGGATTGCAGCGGATTCTCCAGGGTCCCAAGTCGCCCTGAGTCTGTGGGAGCAGCAGAACTTCAAAGACCCAGACAAAGTCTCCTCCTCTCTGCAGCAAATCACATTCCTGCTGGTGAGGGCTCAGCTCTGTGGTGGCCCTGGCCTCGCAAGGAGAGACTGCTGCTAGAGAGCAGCTGGGAGCTCCCCGGGGAGTGCCCCGTTCCTGCCGGGCAGGAGCTTGGGTACCGTGGCCCCGGGGGCTGGCAGCTGGCCAGGCAGGGCAAAAGTGCTGCGAGACCTCCTGGCCTGAGCTGGAGCTGCACGTCTCTGATGTCATCTCTCTGGTTGCAGTTGTGATGGTGAACGGAGACCACCGGATAGGGATCTTTGCCAAGAGGGCCATCCAGGCAGGAGAGGAGCTCTTCTTTGATTACAGGTACCTTGGGGAGCGGCCGGCTGGGGACTGGGGTGCAGGGTTGACCCCACTTTCTGCGTGCATGTTTGTGGGGAGCGTGGGAGGTCATTACAGCCGCCGTGACTTTCCTATCTTGTAGGTACAGCCAGGCAGACGCCCTGAAGTATGTCGGCATAGAGAGGGAGACAGATATCATCTAGGCTCTGTGCGGGGCGGTCCCCAGCACACCTTGCTGCTGCACCTTGTAAGCAATGCCATGTTTGCTTCACGCTGACATGACTGCTGCTGTTCCCGTTGCTGTGTGTGTCACAAGTGCTACTTTCCATCCAGACGCCCAGAGAGAGACTCGGGGCAGGAGTGTGAGCGGCTGCTGCCAGGGTGGCAGCTTTGCCAGCCCTGGGCTGGGGCAGGCTCTGGAGCCTTGCTCTGCGGGCGGTCTCCCGGGCTGGAGGGGAGCTGGGGCTTGAAGAAAAGCTGTGGTGCAGGAGGGACAGCCGTGAATTCTCAGTCTCTTTCCATTTTCTGCCGACTGCTGGAAGAACAAGAGCGAGCGAGGTACCACCCGCACTGGGACGCGGGGCACAGCTGGGGCAGAGGGGCTGGTGCTCCCCTCCAGCCCTGTCCCCTGGGATAAGCTCTGGTCTCGAGTGCTACCTCTTGCTGCCTGTTTTGTCCTGTTGACGAGGACAGCGACAGGGTTGGAAGCCATAGAGACACGGCTGCAGCGGTCCCCAGGCCCCAAGCTGCTGTCACTGAGGCACTGTTTCCCCTCTGCCCCAGCTGGCTGGGGGACAGACCGCCTAGCCGTGGCCGGCGTGGCACGATGCTTGGGGATGGGGAGAGCAGCACTATGCAAAAAGTCACTTTGGGTAGGGACGCCACTGAGCTGGTTAGAGACAATGTTACGGGGGTGCTGCTGCAAGCACAAGAGGGGTCCAGAGGCAGCAGGAACCCGTGAGCCTGAGGAAGCCCTTCCAGCCTGTGGCGTTTTCTCATGACTGTGGGGTGGCTGCTTGGCTTGTGCCCGTCCCCAGCTGCTCTGCTGCCTGGCTCTTCTGGGGCTGGCGCGTGGATGCTTCTGCTGGGCAGCTTTGGGGCCGCGGGGGGGGACTCCTGCTGACCGGCTGGGGCTGCACCCAGAGTGGGAGACGGGCCTTGGCCACCCTGCACCCAGGCGGGCGCTTCCTGACCATGCGGTACCAGAGCTGGTTCCTCCACCGTCCTCTGTCAGGACAGTCCCCTTCAGGCAGCACAGGCTCTGTGGGAGGTGTTGGGCCCTTCAGGAGCCAGCAGAGCAGGGCCCCTCAGGGCAGGAGCCTTTCGTTGCACAGGACTTTTTGAATGTTGCTGTGCTGAGGTTTGAACAGGGTGCAGCAGACCTGCCGCTGCCTGCGGTGACCTGCCTAGAGGTTTCTGACACCCTGGCCCTGGGGATAAAGGGGAAATGTTCTCTGGCAGGGCGAGGTTTGGCCTTAGCACCCCATGCAAAAAGAAAAAGAAAAAAGCACTTTAATCCTCAGCCGGCAGCTGGGCCCCGTGTACCGCTCTGGGGGTGGAGGGACCACAGACGTCCCAGACGGCTGTCATCCCTCAGCAGCACCTTTGCAGGGATGTTGCTCCAGGCCTGGGATGGGGCAGTCTGGATGGGGGGCTCTTCCCTGAGCAGGGCCTGGGGTGACCTGAAGGATGGGGCTGCCCGTTGGAGCCACGTGCGCTGCCAGCCAACTGCCTGGCCTGATGCTGGGTGCTGGAGGGTGCTCTGCCGGGCACCGCACCAGGCTGTCCAGGGGTGATGAGGGCCTGGAGCTGCGGGCTTCCAGCGCTGGGCTCCTGGGATGGCACTGAGACAGTTCCTCTGGCAGGGAGCCCGGCTGATCACCCCCTTTGGGGGCAGTGGCGTGGAGGGTGGGTGGTGTTTGTCTGGGGGCACCGCACAGAGGTGAGCAGTGCTGGGGCCCTTGTCGCCCTCGTTTGGGGAACCACGGGGCTCCCAAGGCACAGCCCTGTCCCAGCCGCACGGTCCATGAACACAGAGAGGTGCTGGGTCTGCGCCAGGAGCCTGAGCCCTCCCTGGCATGGCCCATGCCATGCCTTTCCCAGCCTCCCACTGCGGCAGGCGAGGCTGGCTGTCCGTCCTTCCTGATGTCTGTGATGCCTTCCTGGGGCTCCTGAGGGGGTTGGGTCTGTCTGGAGCAGTGCTTGTACCCTGGCACCTGCCTGAGCCCCGCTCCCCATCGCCTCCTGCTGCCTCCGTCCGCCCAGCTCGCCCCGGCCCTGTTCTCTGCTCAGCGTCCTCTGCCACCTTGGCCATATCTGCACTATGCCAGGCTTGTGTCTGTGGTTTGTTGATGGTGAATAATAATGCACTTTAAAGATAATGTGGCTTGTAGCCTTTGTCATAATAAAGTGGTAGCGAACATCCTCCCACGGCTTGCTGGCCTCTGTTACCTTAGGGAGCAGCTGGCAGTGGCACATTCCCTGCCTGTCTTCTGCCTGCTGCGGGCTCAGCCCAGCTGTCCCCTCCGCGGTGGTTGGCACCCTGGAGCCTGGCAGGGCTTGTGAGCGTCCCGGTGCCACCGGCTGCCTGAATCAGCACTGGCTCAGGGCTGGGAGGTGACAGAGGTGCACAGTGGGGAGAGCAGGACATGCTCGTGTGTGTACGAGCATAGCAGCAGCCTGAGCTGCATCCAGCCCCGGCTCTCTACATCCTGCGTCCCACTCCGGGAGTGGGAATTGCTGTTGTCCGTGCCAGTCCCTCCCCTGGGTGCAGGCTGAGCCACAGGGAGGGGAGAGGAGCTGCTGCCCCTGCATGCCCAGGCTGCCGAAGCAAAGGCTGGGAGTGTCAAACGCCGTCATTCTGCCTTTATTTGAGTATCTTCACATCTCATTCAACAAAACAGGTTTTTTAAAAATAAAGTGCCCAGTGGAGCTAGGCCTTTGGGTAGATAAATGCATTTCTGTAACGTCGTCTTACCACAATACAGCGAGTGAACAGGAGCTTTCCCTGGGCTGGAGGTAATCGGCAGGACTGGCACTTCGTACAGAGAAGTAGCAAACTACAGACCACGTACCACAACACGCGGAACGTAACACCCGACAGGAGCTTCCGTTTGGTTTTTTATACAAACCGATAGAATAAAAAAATCAGAGTGTAGTAGAATATCCAGCAACAAAAATGGTAGAAAGGATCTGTACCTGATCATATGAAAGCAGCATCTCAGCAAAGTGCGGTGGCGTCATGCGCGGCAGCGGCGGCCGTTGCCCGCACGGGCAGGGTATTGCTCGGCACACCCCGGGCTGTGCCCTGAGGCTGGGTATTGCGTGGCTTCCTTCGTGGCTCTGGCTAAGCGAGCAAAGCAGCGGGTAATCTACGCGCAGTCGTCGCTAACGGGGCGGCAGCAGCCAGGCGCACCAGGCACGCTCCCCTGTGAAAGGGAGGGTGGGCTGCCCAGCCCCAGGGCTCCCTGATGGAGGCAGGGCAGGTTTTGGCAGCTGGTGGGAGGCAGCAGCCTGCCTCTGGCACAGGGGCTGCCAGCGTG